ATAACTTGTAGATTCAGAAACCTTCTCTACCGCCACACTTGGCAGGTAGAGTGAAGAAGAGAAAGGGATGATGATAGTGGGCTGGGGAGGTTGGGTATCCACTTATCACTAGACATATTATCTAATATTACGAGCCTTCTGAGGACATTTGAGATGAGCCCAAAGTGCTGGGCCAGCCAAGATTAACGGAAATTATCTCCAGGTTAGGGAACATCTAGGAAAGGCCCTGAGGCAAAAAAAAAAAAAGGGGGGGTTTTAAGAAACTGGATAAAGCAGTAACTATGCACAGAAAACTGAGGAGAAGTAATTCAAAGAACTGGGCCAAGAGAGCCACATAATGTTACAGTTTGTACACAATTAAGGATAAAGTTTTAAAAACTTGAAAAACTACGGATGAAGCATAGGGGAAGTGCATGAAAGAAGACCAAAGATTGAAGCCCAGAAGTCCCTTGGCCACAATCATCTGGTAATACACTGATACATCGATTCAAGTTAAAGTTAAAATGTTAAAGTGTATGTAGTTAATGTTGTATGTCCGACTTAAACAACTTTTTCATTAACCCTCATTACTAGATATGTCCACATTCTCTCCTTTCCTCATGTCCAATACTAGTGTGGTAGACGGAGTGTAAAGGTCAATATAGAGATATAAAAAGTACACCAGTAAACAACAAACTGTAAATCGCCTCGAAAACTGAGCTGGACTAGTTTCTACAGGTGGTGTGGAAGGGGAGCAGGGATCTACACAGTAGACAGAAAATCGAACGTAAATGAACCACATGCATCTTTTAATCAGCATGACTTATATCTTACTAGAAAGCAGTTAAAACATAACTCGTAACCCAGGCCATCTTGGGAGCCAAGGCGGGCGGTCACGAGTCAACGAGATCTGAGAACATCCTGCTAACATTAACATGAGAAACTCGCCTCTACTAAAATACAAATATCTGGGTTGGGGTGGCAGCGCCTGTAGTTCCAGCAACTTGGGGAGGCGAGGCAGAGATCGCTTGAACGCGGGAGCAGAGGTTGCAGTTGAGCCGAGATGCGCCACTACACTCTTAGCCTGGCAACACAGCGAGACTCAGTCTCAAAAAAAAATAAAATCAACTAACAAAACATAACAGTAACTAAACAAACAATAACATAACGTACTGCCCACACACTGCCAATCACTCAATAGTGATTATTAGCGATAACTTTTGTGAATTATCCTTGCATCTTTGACCATCTACCTGTACTCAGCTACGTGAGAGAAGTCTTGTGATTCTACGCCAATCTCATTGGTAAACATCTTTCAATCGTATACAAATAAGTTTGAGCAATCAGGCCCAAAAGCACTAAGTCAACAGAACTCTGTTAAATAAAAGAAAATTTTAAGCAATTTCTCTTTTTTTTGAGACGGAGTTCGCTCTTGTATGCCTGGCTGAGTGCCAATGGCGGATCGGGCTCACCGCAACCTTCCCTGCCTCCTGGATTCACATCCCTGCCAGCACCCTTCCAAGTAGCTGAAACATCAGCATGTCCACCACACGCTAATTTGTCTTTTTAGTAGAAGGACAGGTCCCATGTTAGTCCTCGGAAAATAAATAAAGAGACTAGGTCTTAGTCTGGGAATATGAGTTTCTAAATCCATAGTTTACAAGGGATTAACATTGTAGAGTTTCATGAAACTTCTGTATTAGCAGAGACTCTAGGCAAGAACAGCTACCATAAGACTTCATTTTTAAATTTTATATGGAAGATCCCAGGCAAAGATCAACCTGCAAAGATTAATCTGGGAAGCCCCAGTTTGTCTGGGATATTCTGAAAGTACTCTGGAGGTTAATTTCCTGAGCTTAAAAGTGTTTTGTTTTTGTTTTAATTTACAAAAAAAAAAAAAAAAAATGCTGACAGATTTCATTTTGGACATTTTAAGTGAATTTAAATTTATGATGTCATTTCATTCACTGTTAGTGGAGATACAAAATAATACAGCTACTTTGGAAGACAGTCTGACGGTTTCTTACAAAACTAAACACAGTCTTACCATTGACCCCACAATTGCACTACTTGGTATTTACTCAAATGAGTTGAAAACATATTCATACAAAAACCTGCACATGGATATTTACAGCAGCTTTATTCATAACTGTCAAACCTTGGAAGCAGCCAAGATGTCCTTCAGTAGATGAATAGATAGACCATGGTACATCCAGACAAAATGCAATACTATTCCATGCTAAGAAGAAATGAGCTACGAAGCCATGAAAACACACAAAGGAACAGTAACTTCATTTTACTAGGTGAAAGAAGCCAATCTGAAATGGCTGTATACTCTATGACTCCAACTACATGACACTCTGGAAGAGGCAAAAGTATTGAGGCAAGACAAATTAGGGTCCAGGGAGGGAGGAATAGGCTGAATACAGGATTTTTAGAGCAGTGAAACTATTCCATATGATACTAATAATGGTGGACACATGTCATTATGCATTTGTCAAAACCCACAGAATGTGTAACATCATTAGTGAAACCTAATGTAAACTGCAGACTTAAGGTGAAGAAATGATGTGTCAAGTAGGTTCATCAGTTGTAATAAATTTACTACCCTGATGTATGAATGCCAACAGTGGGGAAGGTTGTGCATGTTGTGTAGGGGCAGGGGATATGCAGGAACTCTCTGTACTTTCTGCTTTAAAAAATAAAGTATATCTTTAGGCTGGTTATGGTGGCTCACACGGTGGCTCACACCTGTAATCCCAAGACTTTGGGAGGCCAAGGCAGGAGTACCACTTAAGCCCAGAAGTTCGAGATCAGCCTAGGCCACAAAGCAACACCCCCTGAGCCGTGATCTTCACCACTGCAGGGCCTGGACAACAGAGTGAGTTGAATAATTTATCTGTTTTTATTGGCATCCATTTTAATAAAATATGGAAGAAAATGCTAATGATAGATCAAGAAAATATACAAATTGTTATCTACAACTCTCACCTCATCTTTATGTGAAGTACATCGATTTTGCAAGGTATATAAAGATGAACACAATAATATATGCCTTAAAGGGGCTCACAGTCTAATAGGAAAGAGATAATAAGGGAACTATTATAACTCAGTGTTATTATGCATGCTGTTATGAAACTATAGAGTCACACAACTCTGAAACACATGCATATAAAGAAAAAGCTTTAGAAAATTATTATAACATGCTCACAGAAGTTACTTCTGGTTTTCTATAATAAACATAAATAACTTAGTGGGAAAAAAATGTCTTAAGAAACTTTAAATAGCCATACTGAGAAAGGCAACATGAAAAAAAATCAAAATAGTTGATGTATTTCTTAGGGCAACACATATTTGCAGTTCTAATTTTTTAAATTCTACACTGTTGTAGAACTGTTTACACGGGGGAACTAAAAGTCTTAAACGCTAACAAAGATTCATTCAAGTGGGGAGAGAGGATAGGATGGGAGGCAGGACCTTCAGGAGCTTGACTGTGGAAATATTCAGACTCAGAATTATGTCCCGACAGCTTCAAAAATGGCTTAAACTGTAATTTCACTGCTTAAACTATAACCTACGATTTATGGGTCTTGCCTTTTCACTTCATCTTTTGACTGAAACCTACAGCTGGCCCTCTTCCCCTAAGATCCAGTGTTTAATAACCTCTACAGTCGGAAAGCTGTTCTTTACCTCTAACCAAAGTATTTTATTATAATCTCAATTTCCTCTTCTAGGAATTGAAGGGGTGGGAGAGACAGGAGCCATTTCAACTTCGAAATTTTATAAGCTTGAAAACTATTAAAGTCACTTATTTTCTCTCTACTAACATACAGACAAATTCCACTAATTCTGGTAATTAGCTTAGAAAGCCTATGCTTCATCTCCTTAATGCGTATTTCATTTTCTTTCCCTGTTTCTTTCCTCAGTTTCTTCCCATAGCCCTGAAAATACACAGCTAAACCAAATTATTTAACACGAAGCGAATTAGGGTTAAGTAAAGCAAGTGGTTACTAATCAGTCCACCGAGGACACAGTTATATTAATTCACCCCAAAGTTGCTTTTTAACATGATCTGTATTACTTATCCATCTGCATCAGAACTTAGACTACCTAACCACTGTAACTGTCAAATCTCCATAGGATTTTTTCTATCCTGAAATTTATTACCATTTATATTTCTCCCTCATTTATGCTTTTTATTTTAAAATATCTTTTTAAATTAGGGAGGGAGTACAGTATAGTAGTGGTTAAAAGACACAAAGTAGCAGACACCCTTTGCTACCTATGTAAATAATCATTCCTACCCACCTCCCTTCTTTCTATTGGCAAAGCCCTTAATTTGTTTGTCTCCCTTACTGGCATATGCTCAGTAACCTTACACACACATACTCTCTCTTCACAGCCCTACTAGTAATGGTGGTTACAGTCCCTTAGTATCTGTGGGGGCTTGATTCCAGGATCCCCATGAATACCAAAATCCACAGATGATGCTCAAGACCCTTGTATAGGCTGAGCACGGTGGCTCACGCCTGTAATCCCAGCACTTTGGGAGGCCGAGGCGGGCGGATCATGAGGTCAGGAGATTGAGACCATCCTGGCTAACACGGTGAAACCCTGTCTCTACTAAAAATACAAAAAATTAGCCGGGCGTGGTGGCAGGCGCCTGTATCCTAGCTACTCAGGAGGCTGAGGCAGGAGAATGGCGGGAACCTGGGAGGCGGAGCTTGCAGTGGGCCGAGATTGCGCCACTGCACTCCAGCCTGGGTGACAGAGCGAGACTCCGTCTCAAAAAAAAAAAACCCTTATATAAAATGATTAGTAACTGGGCACAGTGGCACATGCACATAATTCCAGCTACTCGGGAGGCCAAAGTGAGACAATCACTTGAGCATAGGAATTCAAGACCAACTTGGACAATACAGCAAGACTTCATCTCTTAAAAAAAAAATCAAAATAAAATAATATGGCTTAGTACTGGCATATAACCTATGTACATCCTAAGTTTAAGCTACTTTTCTGGTGTTAACTGAAGCAAAAAAGAACCTAATAGAAAAGTTTACATCTCAGTTCTGCCACTTATAAACCATATTATATAGGACAAGTTACTCAATCTCCCTGTATCCCTCTTTTCTCATGTGAATTAAATGTAAGAAAAGTACCCACTTCACATATTGATCTTAAATGAAATAATGCAGGTAAAGCATGAAACAAGTACCAGGCACAGAGTAAGTGTTTTAAGAATTATTAAATTATCAAGACTGAATACATGAACACAAGCCAAATTTTAAAACACAACAAGAAATATATATTATTCAGAGGCTACCGGGTACCATTTTCACAAAATAAAAGTAAAACTTGGCCAGGTGCAGTGGTTCATGCCTATAATCCTAGCACTTTGGGAGGCCAAGGCAGGAGGATAACTGGAGCCCAGGAGTTTGATACCAGCTTGGACAACAAAGCGAGATCCTGTCTCTACAAAAAATATAAAAAATTAGCCAGGCATGGTGGCATGTGCCTTCAGTCCCAGCTACTTGGGAGGCTAAGGGAGGAAGATCCCTTGAGCCTAGGAGTTCAAGGTTGCAGTGAGCTATGATCACATTGTTGCACTCACTCCAAGGTAGGTGACAGAATGAGGCCTCGTCTCAAAAAAACGTACAACTTAAGCAAAGTTTATCAATTATGGTTTTCAAATTTTAGTTAATGGAGGAAATAGCAAGTTTCCACTTGTCATAATTACAGGCATCACTATCATTGTATCATTATTCTAGTACTAATGAAAGACCTCGAGAACATATAAAGCAGCAGTAAAGGGTGCTAAGAAATGACAGTGTAGTCACATCAACTTGCCCAAGGTTAAAACAATGGAGTCAGGGTTCAAACCAGGTCTGTCTGGCTCTAGAACAACTGTTCTCTGCTACCTCCAAATCCTGTGTGTGTGTTTTCACTAAACTATTTTGTTGTTTATAGATCTGAATTGGAATCTATTCTTATACAGGATCAGTACCCTGAACTTAGCAACTGATATAAAGGTATCCCTTATGGAAATCTCAACTAATTCTTTATTCCTTTTAGGAAGAAGAGTCTTAAGAATATGCATTATAAAACATGTTTCAATAAGGTTATTTTAAAAATGTTTGCTCCAGCATACTCTTGCTATCTCCAAGGAATGTATTGAGACTTTAACAAATATCCAAATTATTGAATAATACTAACGTATTATTTTCTACATTAAATGCATACCTAAGATGAAAAAGTAACACTGAACAACAAATTGCTGGGCTTATACAGGGCTTGCTCTATTCCAGCTATTTCCAAAGTGTGGTCCATGGACCCCAGAAGTCCCCTAAGACCCTTTCAGAGAGTTCATAAGGTCAAAGCAATTTTCCTAATAATACTAAGACATTATTTGCTTTTTTCACTGTGCTAATGCGATGGTGCAAAAGCAATGGTGAGTGAGACTGCTGGTGTCTTAACACAAATGAAACAGCAGCACCAAAGTCAACTGGTAGTCACCGTACAACCATATGTGCTCAGTTAAAAAGTGTGTGTGTGTGTGCTGCTTAAAACTGTCTTCAATGAAACAGCAAAAATTATTGTCTCCAACCTTTTGAGCACACATCTTTCTAACATTCTATGTGACAAAGTAGGAAATACACAAAGTATTTCTGCTGCACACCGAAGTATAATAGTTTTCAGAAGAAAATGCACTTGTGTAATTGTTTCAGTAGCAAGTTAAAGTAACCACTTTCTTCATAGAATACCATTTTTACTTTAAAGAAGAACGAACTGACAAACTATAGTTGTAAGGACTCAGGTATCTGGAAGACATTTTCTCCAAATGGAACAAGGTAAGACAGTCACTTCGAAGAAAACAACTGACAGTATTTGTTACCAATGATAAAATTTTAG